CGGGGAAACGCACACATCTGAACCCCCCATCAACCTCAACACCACACAACACATTCTATTAACATTATTACACACTCTACCATAACATTTTATTTCATTTTACACTTTAAAATGTTTCGCTAGCATTATTCTTTACAAATTTGCAAAGACTGAACCGAACCTAACCGGCTATTTACATAAATAATAAAATTTTGGAGATGATACTTTCCCATATAAAATGTGCGCCGTGATGAGTTAAAGATAATACAATATTATGTATTAATATCAAGTAAAAATTCATTACGAGCGAATTATAATTTGTAAATATATAGAGTTTGATTAAAATATGATGTAAGAGAAGAGGAGTGAGGAAGAAATAAGAGTAGTGAGGTGAGAGGTGAATGAGGACTCCCTCACTCACCCTCACAACCAAAACAAATATGGCGTCACTTGCTGAGGAGGCTACCATGTTTTGACTCTCACCTCCTTGACCCACCTCCTCGCCAGGAGAAAACTTATCACGCTACAAGGTGGGTCTCTATGGACCTCCCGAGCCCCCAGCAACCTGCAGCAACCCAGGAAACTCCACTTTTACCCTCCGCTGAAGATATTAAGCCTCGGTGATGTTGAGGCCCCATAAAGTTGACAGGTTTCCAAAGGGTAATTTCGTGTTTGGTGTTAAATGTTAGAGCCTGAGGGAGATTGTGACGAGGCTGAGGTGATGGTGGCACTCAGTGACCTATGTAGTGCTTCTGCCCACACGTATACCCATAAATGTGGCAACTATTGTATGGAAAGATTAAGACGTCAGAACAAGGAACTCGGCAGTAAACATCAAACCTTCTTCCATTGTCACTTACATTACCTTTAATTGCACTAACTGAAGACTAACTCGGTACTTATTAATTGTTAATTATTGGTCACATCTATTTGAAAGAGAAATGATGATAGGGATGTCAATGTTGAGTGAGATGGACAGTGAAAGTGATAACTAGTTGACCTCAGCTACTTTTTTTAATTTGGTTTTAACTGTAACACTTTATTGTTGCATTCCCGAGTAGACTTCCTTCACATCCAAGTTGCTCACAGAGTGGCACCTATGGTTGACATGAATTAGTATTTATATATATACAGACAAATGTTAAATAATAATGTAAGAATATAAGAAGATGAATAAGAATTGTGTGCAACACTTCTTTATTGCTGAAACATTGACCTGCACATCAGGCTTCTTGAGTTGAATATAGATGGTGGTGTTTACTGTACCATCATTAATATAGGGTAAGAATGAAGGAACACTTCAGTACACCTATTGACCCATGCTAGGCAGGTCTGACTCTCACACTCGCTAACATTTCCAACCCACTTAAAAACTACCCAAAGTTCTTGCCCTCACTGGAGCATTATTTTAGCAGTTTCAAGAGTTTCTTGCTTCAACATACTTGTGTAATGTTCTAAATTTTTGTTAGTAGCATGTATGATAAAAAAAATCTGTAGCATGTATGATAAAAAAAATTTGTAGCATGTATGATAAAAAAATCTTGCTTAATATGTACAAAATAATGTACACATTAAGCCTAATTCCTGAAAAATTACTAAACATATCCTTTGCAAAATTTATAAATCTAATCAAAGCTACTAAATAAACATGCTATTCAGATACTTAACAAAAAATATTAAGTTTTAAAAATTTTCTCAATTTCTATGATAAACCAAGATATTAATGAGCAACAGATCTCCAAGGATGACATGCTTTCAAGCACAGCTATGGGCAACTACCCTAGTTCTTTTTACTTATCACACACCACAACCTCTGAAATTGATTACATAAAATCACAAAATGGAGTAATGAAACTTAAATTCCATCGTGTACAAGAAATCTACACATATAGCATAACCAACAGCCTGCTTGATAAGGCCAGCAACATAGAGGGCATGATTTGGGACCAGGTTGCAGGAGCAGTGACCCCAGAAATCATCTTCAGATAACCTAAATAGGTAACCATAGCATTATGTTGTATCAGAGATGATGAAAAAAAGGCAGTACTAACCATAGCAGTACTCAGTCATCACAAAACTCAGACATTATCAGAAGAGTCAGTATTATCCACCCACAATGGGGTGAAACCCCCCCAACATAATTTCAGACCAATATCATATCTTTTATTATTATACCATAGAAAGTATGTGAAAAATATTGGACAGAAATATGCATGTTCTCCTACATAGCTAAACACACAATATACTTGGTAATCCTTGCCAGCATGGATTCAAACCTGGGAAGCAGTTAAATGATGATATTTAATCAACATAGGGCACTATAATAATTAGTATCCAGTTGATCTGCAAAAGGCATTTTTTTTTTTTTTTTTTGTGTTGACCACAAGTACTTTTAAATCATAGACTCAGATGTCTCATTATTTCATCCACTCTTACCTCAGTGACAAGCATCAACACAAAACCATAAATGATACAGCCATATCTTCCATACCAGCAAAGATTTGTGTCCCAAAGAGCATCATTTTATGACATAAGAGTCTGTTACTGATATCCTTCTGATTAACAGTTGTGTCCACTCTCCCATACATGTGCTTTTGTTAGTAAAATCCTAGATGTATGTTGTCATTACTGTTACAATAATAGTTGTAATTTTTAAGCCATATAAACTTTTGTTTAAATGTTCATTTTTTGTAATTTTTATCATACATTATTAGCTTGTAAATAATCTGTAAATTATTTATAAATATCAGCTTGTAAGTACTTAACAGGACTGTACTTGCTGCAATATTTATCTTTATTGTTACTCACTAGAAAGTATTTGCTACAGCTTATTTTTTTTCACTACTGACCACCTTCCAGCAAGGTAAGTAGACATTCATCATCATTTATTTTATAATTTTTGTGCCAGAAGTGTGTGGACATCACAGTTTATTATGGCAGTATTTATTGCTGTTAAATAGATAGTATTTGTTGCCAAATTTGTCTATCATTCCTCACAAGACACTGTTGTTGGTCATCTTTTATTATTGCTCACTAAACAATATTTGTTGATTTTAGTGGTTTATCTTCATTACTGTTCATTAGACAGTACAGTGTAGTAATGATAATTATAATAATAATAATAGCTCTTTTAAACTGAGAACACTGTGGGATCAACAAAAGTTGTCCAGTAGTTTTTGTCATAAATTGCCTTGTGTAGTTTTTAAAAGATAAGGAAAGTTAATGTTCTTTGTAAAAGAGCTACTGGACCAAAATGCATTATGCATTCTTACACAATAGATATGTATTTCACTATGCAGTATATTATTATATTGCAGTACTTTATGACCCATATGGATTTAGTGCTTTTTTAAAAAAGATAGTGTAATGCTGTAATATGGTACATATAATAGTCACCAAATATATATATATATTTTTATATATATATATATATATATATATAATATATATATATATATATATAAATATATATTTTATATAATAATTATATAAAAGTATGTATATATTATTGTATAATATATGATATTATGTATTATTAATAGATATAGAATTATATATGTTTATTTATATAAGTATATGTAATATATATGATTATAATATATTAAATATATGTATATATTATATATGTAAGTATATATTATATAGTACTTATATAATATGGATATTAGGTTATTATATATTATATAATATATAATATATATATCTTATATATATACTATATCATATATATCACTATATATATATATTCCTGAGCCTTTTATCCACTTCTCCGAGGCTATGGTCCACATTACACCAGAGGTGGACCCATTATATATATATATATATATATATATATATATATATATATATATTTATTTATTTATTTATTATTTATTGTTATAACTTCTTTGGGAAATATTTTTGACATTCATTAGTGCACAATAACCCCCGTATCATATACAGTACAGTGAACACCTGTGGTCTGTAGGACACCTGTGATACATAGGTTCCATCTACAATTATTTCCAGTAATATTTAATGCTGTATACATTAATTCTGAAAATATTACAGTACGTACATTTGTCAAGTGGCAGCACGTGCAGGCAACAGTGTTATTAGTCATCTACTAGCTTCTGTTTTTTTTTCTGTAGTTTTGAATATACATATATATGTAATCCAATTTCAGATTTGTTAAATGCAGTATCTGCAATATATAGTGATTATTTTCATCAAAATTCAAAGCCAGATGTGTTGACAAGATCGATAAAGGTTAAGCATGAGTGGCTATTACTGTATAAACAATTGAGACATGGCAAGTAACTCTGAGCCAGCCCTCGTCTGATGCTTACACCCATATTGATTTTAATACTATTTTTTTATTATCCCTTAGATATTTTTGGCTGCTTGCTTGGAAAATTTGATTAAATTCGAAGACTCCAAGTCCCGATGCTTTCGGATTACCAGTGCAAGGCTTACTCATATTCAATATGCTCCACCAGATGTACAAGTAAAACATGGTAAAGAGCTCATTTTTAGAATTTCAGGTCCAAAATTCCAGTAATAACTGAAAGTGGCACTCTGAACTTTAATTTAACCTTTTTTTTTTAATATCCAGTAGAAGCTTACCTTGCTCAGTATCACTGTAGCTATAGAAAATAAGGAATAGTATTTGATGCTTAAACTTAGGATGTATATTTTGTAATGTGCATTTTTTGTATTCTGTACATGGCAACTGCTGGTGTCGTTCAATTACTAGATTAGTAAAGAAGTTCTTCATTCATTTGTAGTTTTGGTGTTATTGCCTATTTGTAGCTACAGGAGCAGAGTTATGCTCGTGGTGTCCCATCTTCATTAATACCATGTGTGCTAATGGTTTGCTAAATTTCTCTTTACATTCCTTTATAACACTTGAGAACAGTTCATCAGGGCCCAGTGATTTGCTTGGTAGTAGTATATTTTTTTTCACAACTCATTTATATTATCTCCTGGTGACAGATTGCTATTTATTATAACTCCCAGAACCCTTTCCTTGTTTAATACTCCCAAAATTTAAAAGATCTTTTCTAACTGACTGGGTGCTCTCAACAATATGTAAAGATGGGCTTTGCTGATGTTTCTTTTGCCTCCAAATCAATGCGAGGTTCCTCTACTTAGGAATCTATTTTAATATTTCCTTCAAATGTTAAGGGACGTTACGAAACATACATTACTCCCTTCACAACAGCAGATAGAAACATGCAAGTCAGTTTTCATATACAGTTTCAAAATACTTAACAAAATATTAAGAAATTTTTTTTCTTCAGAGTGAAATTTTTGGAATGAGACGTTCACGTTGGGACATCAAGGGGGAGCGTGAGGGTCCCAAGGAGCAGTCAAGAAGATGGGGCAATCACTGTGATTCACAAATGAATTGGAATATAAGCAGTGAATCAGAATCCCATCCATCAGTGTCGTCTCCCCCACGACAGAGAGCCACTCCTTCGCCAATTGATTACAGAAGTGAAAGTCGACGGCGGCACGATAATCAGCAGGATAATAATGTGCCTCAGAGCTCAACGGCACCCTCTCATGGTCCTCAGCAGTCACTGATGGGCCCTCCATCTACACATTTCACTGCATCATGGCCCCTTTTGGGAGCACCGAATATGTTTGCAGATTCAGATCGTGGCCATCATGCTCCTCCTCCATTTGCAACTCATCAGCGCTGGGCCCAAGCTCATCCAGGGTACTTTCAAACAGATAGTGGCCAATATACCTTTGATATGAAATGGTGGGCCCAGCAAAAACAATCCATGGATGCTTATCTGAGTGGTCCTAGTTGGAGAGATGACAATAAAAATACCCATCCTGATTCTGGCGTTCCACAGTGGTCATTTGGCACACGTGTAATGAAAAATAGCAATAAACGACATAATAATAATAGGCCTTTGAACCGTAATCATCACTCAGATGGTAATTATAATGGACAAAGACACGATTCTAGTTATGACCTGATGGATCCACGCCGCAGATCTTCATCCTTGTCTCACCTCAGTCAGAAAATCAGAGATGGTAACAGATCAAGTAGCTGTAATCATCAGCTAGAAGGTAATTACAATGCACAGAGACATGACTCGAGCTATGGTCAGGTAGACCCTCGAAGACAACCTATGTCTTTATCATTTCAAAACCAGAAATTCAGAGACAGTTTACATGATTCCAGAAGAAGGTATAATTTGGATAAGAGAGATTTCAGAAAAACGAGCTCTGTTTATCATCCACCTGCTTGGGGAAATACTGATAATGTTAGTGGAAAAGGAAGAGGAAATAAAGGTGGGAAGAAAAGTAATCTTAAGATGCAGCCCAGTAAGTTTGATGTACCTGGTAACTTTAAGTCTTGGGGTTCATTTAATAGAAGTATACGACCTGTTAGTACAAGTGCTTCTTTGACTGAGCCAAGAGATGACTGGTCTATGTTTAAGAATAAAAGCAAAGAGAAAATAGGGAAAAAGACTAAAAGTGATGAAAGTGCTACTTATGCTGAAGCAGCAAAGAAAAAAGCACTTGCAGCAGCTGCAAGTAAACTGAGAAGGACATTCTTTGCTGCTAAAAAAAAGAATGTAGGAGGAGAATGTTCGCCAGCAGAGGATGATGACATAGATGTTGACCCAACAGAAACTACAGAAGAGAATAATGCAGAAGACTTGTCTATGCCCCGTCGCCACCCTAGCTGCTTGGAGTTTGATATTGATATACGATTCAGTGCTAAAGAATGGGCATCAGTAGGACGTGGGCAGGGTGGATCCAGTAACATTCTTGATATACCACAGGCACCCTCAAGAAAGCGATTAAATGTCTTGCAAAAGAATAACATAGGATGTGGAGAGGAACAGGAGGACTCTGGTACTTATTCTGATACAGATGTTGGAAGAGCAGAACCTCATTGGTCTGTAAATTCAACATTATCTTCAAGCTTCACTCGTCGGCGACATTTGTCGGAGAGTTCTGGGGTAATTGACCTAAGAAAAAATCCCTCAAATGGAACATCAACATCACGACCTGGTACTGGACGAATGAGATCTTGCTCCATGAGTCTCGTAGAGGGAGCAGGCTCAAGTAAAGATGGACAGGGAAGCTCTAGTGAAAATCGAGAATCTCGCATGAGGCTGCACCTTATGCCAAAATTAAGAAGATTAATGCTGAAGCAGCTGCTCACGATGGATAAAAAATCTCTTCAGGTATATACAGTGCTGTACTTGTGTTTCTTATACAGTAATCTATATAAAAAGTGATATAAATTTAGAGGTTGCTAATATTTTTTCCTGTGTTATTGATATTAGGTAGTAGAGTGGTAGGTAGCAACCATCCAGGGAGGCTGGTAGGTATTACCATCCTTTTATATGTGTGTGAAATGGAAGATTTTAAACATTTTTTACTCTTTGAGGATTGCTGAGCTTTTCTTTCTGTCTCTTGAGCCTATAAGATGACAGGTAAATCTTACATTTTTACTTACATTCATTATTTACTGTAATGTATTTTTTTAATAGGGCATTTCTAAGTCCTATAATATATCCTTTCTAATATAGGAAGCCCAGCCTGTGACTGAGCTGTGGGAGTGATGATCCAAGAACCATTAACATGCATAATTTTTTTTTTCAACATGTCGAATGTCTCCCACTGAGGCACGGTGACATAAAAACAGAAAAACACTTTCACCATCATTTACACATAATCACTGTCTTTGCAGAGGCATTCAGATACAACAGTTCATATGTCACTCCAAACAGCAAATATCCCAAACCCCTCTTTTAAAGTGCAGGCATTGTACTTCCCACCTCCAGGACTCAAGTCCGGCTAACCAGTTTTTCTGAATCCCTTCTCAAAATGTTACCTTCCTCATGCTCCAACAGCTCATCAGGTCATAAAAACTATTGGCTAGACAAGCCATGGGGAAATGGAAATCTTTAGCTCAAGACCTTTCACATATCTGTGCATCATCAGGAGCTTTGCACTCTGAAGGAGGGGTGGTTATGTTTGCAGTTTTGAACTGTAGTATCGACACGCCTCTGGGAAGACAGTGGTGGAATGAATGATGGTGAAAGTGTTTCTTCTTTTTTGGTCACCCTACCTTGGTGGGAAATGGCCAGTGTGTTAACCCCTTGAGGGTACTGATCCCCAATCTGAAAAGTGTTCACAGGGTCCAAGAATTTTCAAACCAAAAAAAAAAATTTTATTTTTTCTTAAGAAATAATAGATAATTTTTTTCTGAAGGGAATAAAAAAAAAGACGAAATTTGATGGAAAATTGATGAAATTATGCTTTCTTAACCCCTTCAGGGTCCAAGGCCCAAATCTGAAGTGGTGCCCCAGTGTCCAAGAATTTTCAAAAAAAAAACTTTTTATTTTTTGTTATGAAATGGTAGAGAATCTTTTTGTGAAGGTAATAAAACAAAAGTACGAAATTTGATGGAAAATTGACGAAATTATGCTCTCGCGAATTTTGATGTGTCAGCGATATTTATGAATTGGCGATTTTGCCGACTTTGACTCCCATTTTAGGCCAATTACATTATTCCAGTCAACCAAATTCTTAGCTATTTCACTAGTATTACTTCTATTCTATCGATTGAGCACAAGAAATCGCCAAGTCAACTGTTTCAAGTACAAATTAAAGTGATCGGAAATTGTTAATTTGGCCAATTTAACACAAAGTTCAAAATATTCCAATTTCAAAATAGGGTCCAGAATAAACAATGCAGGTATTCCAGGAACTAAACCAACATTTCCTCTGTTCATTAGTTACGTTTTGAGGCTTTACAAATAAATTCCATTTTTATTTTTATTCACATAATGAATTTTTATTCACACCAAAAAATAGAAGATTTACCGTTATGCAATACTGTAATAACTGTATAAATATCATCACCATATTTGTGAATGCATATTAGACCCACCAGCTGGCGTGTATTAGACATGTGAGGTTGTTTGTTTACTCTTGAATATCGTCAAAAATTTTACATTTCTGCTACTTTGAGCTCAGTTTCAAGCCATTTCCAGTGCTAAAACCAATCAAAATCACCTCTATTTCTGTAATATGTCTTCCATTCTATCAAATGAGACCAAGAAATCGCAAATACAACTATAAAAAACATAGGAAAAAACAATGCAAATTCGCTGTTTTAATCGAAAAATCATGATTTCAGTTTTTTTCTCTCATTATACACAGTGTGCTGCAGGATCTGTTTTATGTGGTGCACACATACCACATAGATGTATTCTCTCCTATCTAGGCCCAAATGTACCACTCACAGTTTATCAGAGTGAGCTGAGCTCATGACGTAGATCTACGGTTTGGGCCCTGAACGTAAAGCCGTAGATCTACGGGACGGACCCTGAAAGGGTTAAATATTGCTGTGTCAGCGATATTTACGCATCAGCGATTTGGCCCACTTTGAGTCCTATTTTACACCAATTGCATTGTTCCAGTAGACCAAATTTTTAACTATTTTGCTAGTAAGTCTTCCATTTTTATTGAATGAGCACAAGAAATTGCCCAATCAACTATTTCAATTACCCAATAAAGTGATCAGAAATTGGTAATTTGGGCCAATTTCACACAAATTTCCAAATATGATAATTTCAAAATAGGGTCCAGAATAAAGAAAGCAGGCATTCCTGACACTAAATAACATTTCCTCTGTTCATTTAGTTACATTCCCAGACCTCTCTTATATTGCACTTGTTTTCCATTTTTAATTTTTTTTCACAAAAAATGAAGTTTCTGTTATGCATTTTGTAATAATTGTAT